CGGCGCGGGGCCGGGGCCTCTCCAGCGCCCACCGCTCCGTGCGACAGGCGAGAAGCAGTCGACGGCGGAGAGGGGGCCGGGGAGAGGGGTCTCCGCGCGGAGAGAGTTTTGGAAAAGAATGCAGAGGCCGCCGACCCGCAGGGCAGCCTGGGAAAGGTAGTTCGGAGTGGGCGGGCGGCTGGACTACAACTCCCAGGATGCCCCTGGGTGAGCAGGCGAGGCCGCCGCCGTGGCCTCCGCAGCCTCGGAGCTGGTTCGAGAGGTGGTGCATCTGTGAGGACTCGGTAATTTAAACACATCCGGGAAAGAAACTGCCGACGACCAGGGTTCCCCCCGCAGTATGTTCTGGAGCCATCTTATTTGCGACCTGGCCTCCTGGCACAAGGGATTCTGGGGGCTGTGGTTTCCGAACTCACCGAGCTGACACCTGAAGGACGCGGCTTAACCGCTCAGCCCCGAGCGTGTCCTGCGGGGCCTCCCGACGTCACCTGGGCAGAAGTGGCGGAGAGAGCGAGCGGTCAGGGACATCTCGCTGGCAGCTGCATCAGGCCACTCCGGAATGCCAGCCCTAAAATAAATAAAGCGGGTGCCCTTCCGCCCCAGCCGCAAAAGCTGCCTCTGCTTCCAGACGTTATTGCGGTCCGGCTCTGCGGTCAGCTCCGAGCTGGGCGCCGGGAGGACTCTGGGGCAGTGACTCGTCTGGGAGTGTACAGGCCGGAGTCAAACCGAGAGACTGCTAAACGTGGTGTACAGGGCAGATCCCAGGATGCCAGAGACCCAGCGCGTTGGCTTGACCTCAAACGTCGGGGCTCCTCAACCCGCGCTGGCCCTTCATCCTTCCACCTCTGCTGACCCTGTGGATGGACCACATCTTCCCTCACCCCCTTCCACACATGAGCCCTAGGCTGACCTGTTATTTCGTCTGAGTGCCTAGGGTGGGGGTGAGCTATGTGATTTTCATCTGCCAAACGCAGATTAGGAAGGCCAGTTGGTACCCTTTTCCGTCCCTAGATTTCCTGGTAAATGATGCTGAGGGAAGTGCCAAATCCCTAGGGGAAAAAAAATCCGTGATTTTTGTAGGTTATTTTTCACCTCCACCCGCTCTCCCCTCTCTCTAACGCTGCACAGCCCTCTTGGCTTGTAATTCGTCCCAGAATTTTTTTCAGCAAGCATTTGGGGAGAGTAGAGAAGGGTGCCCCCGGGGAGGAGGAGGTGGAATGGTTCTTGGTGTCTCTAACCGGAATATTGAGCCGCGCTGTGACTGGGCTAACAGTGGCCTTTGCTGTGGCTGCTTGCTACTGTACTGCTTCTTGTTTCTTTGTAATTAAGCTCCCTGTAGAGATAGCATCTTCTCTTCCGGAGAGAGTCAGTGTTGTCACCTCAGTTCACAAATTCATGCAGCCACCTCCAGGGTGAAATGCAGCAACTATTAAAACTTTCAAAGCAAGCTCACGAAGGCATGTTCTCTGCACTTTCCTTAAAAGGCCAGATTTTTGTCTAAGGAAGTTTGGATAGAATAGACCTTAAAATAGATGAGGAAGCTCATTTGGAATTAGACTCATTGACTCCCGTTTTTCTCAGCACATATTGGTCTTAACTGACTTTTCTAAAGAAGCTCTGTTAGGGCCTAAAATCTGTTGCTATATCAGTTTTTACTCTTCTAGACTTTCCTGGTACCAGAGTAGGCCAGGCTTACACAAATCTTACTTTAGAGGTACAGAAACTTCCAGTAGACTTAAGGTAGCCAACGTGTATATAGTGAACACTCATCTGGACATTCTGATCAGAATCTGAGGGGAAAGGTTTAAAAACAAACAAAAGGTCAATCGTGGTGGCTTATGACTGTAATCTCAACATTTTGGGAGGCCAAGGTGGGAGAATTGCTTGAGCCCAGGAGTCTGAGACCAGCCTGGGCAACATAGCAAGACTTCATCTCTACGAAAAATAAAAAAATTAGCCGGACATGGTGGTGCATGCTTGTAGTCCCCGCTACTCTGGAGGCTAAGGTGAAAGGATCACCTGAGCCTGGGAGGTCAAGGCTGTGGTGAGCCATGCTTGTGTCAACTGCATTCCAGCCTGGGTGACAGTAAAACCCTGTCTCAAAAACAAACAAAAAACAGATGACTAGATTCCTTGCTTTTAATTCTCTCAAAGACTCATAGCAATTATAATAGTAAATCCACAGTTTTTCTTGCTTCACGTTTGTTATTTAATCCTCACAATAACCCTATGAAATAAAATACTATTATTTATACAGGTAGAAAATTGAAGCACAGAGATAAATGACTTGCCCAGTCACACAGTAAATGGCAAAGCTAGGATACAAATCTGAATGTTTCGGCTCCAGAGCCAGTTATTACCTGGCTGTACTAAACTGTCTACTTAAGCAAACAGTAACAGATTAAAAGACTTGCGAATAGTTAGAAACATATCAACAAGCAGCATAGAACCAGGAGACAGGAAACCTCTGCCACTTCATGGCTGTCACCCTCAACCACTAGATCTCTAGGCTTGTTTCCTCAGCCATAAAACAAGAACTCTCTTACAAGTCTTAGAATTTTCTAGTTCCTGAGTACAAAACAATCAACAGATCAACCATTATAATCTCAAAACTCCTGCCACACTTACTCTGTATAATTTGCCCCACCCTGCCTTGTATTCCTATTCAGCTTTTCACGTGTATTGCTACCTCAACCAAGTACCTCACAGTTAGGGAACAGTCTTCTGTTCATCTCCTTTAACATCCAAAACAATCATTTATGTAGAGTGTGTTCTTACCAGTACTTAAATAAACTAAATAATTGACTTGAACTGTAACAAAAGAAAGCAATTTGATTAAGGTGGAAAGACTGATTTGAAGTATTCTAGATTAGGTGAGTTTTTGAACTAGATATAGGAGAGACTATGGATAAATACCCAATTAAAGGGAGTGGGAAAGAAGCTGACACTATTATTAAAAGAGATCATAAGAATGATGGAATGAGCCGGGCTTGGTGGCTCAGCCTGTAATCCCGCACTTTGGGAGACTGAGGTGAGTGGATTGCCTGAACCCGTGGGTTCGAGAGCCACCCGGGCAACTTGGCGAAACCTCATCTCTACAATATATCAAAAAATCAGCCGGGCGTAGTAGCGCATGCCTGTAATTCCGGCTACTCGGAAGGCTGAGGCAGAAGGATCACCGGAGCCCAGCAGGTTGAGGCTGCGGTGACCGGGAGCGGCCACTGCACTCCAGTCTGGGTGACAGAGTGAGACTCCAACTCAAAAGAAAAAAAGAAAGATGGAATGGACTCTGGCAATAAGATACCCAATTATAAACAAGACCAGGCAAGGGTTAAGTCATGCACCCCTTACACTGAAAGAATAAACTATGTTCTATACTGCCATAAGACTTTTGTCCCTTTCTTGAGCAGCTAAATAAACACTGGCCTGGAGACAAGCAATACTGAAGCAATTGCAGCTCATACCACCAGACACTGACTAACTGGACCCCCACTTCCCTACCCTGTTTCACAAGCCATAACTAGAGCTTGGATTGGACAAGAGACTGATTTCAGTAACTTTTTCCTGGTAAGAAACCACCTATCACGGACTGGTTCTGGCTGGTTCATAGAGGCTGTGAACTGAGTGCCTTTATGTCCTCTGCTTCACCTAACTGTAATGTATTTAATGTTGTCTTCACTCCAAAGTGAACATAGGTATGTAGCATGCATGTTTGCTTACTATGCATGCATGTGTCTCCTTCAGGAATATTCATAGCTCCTATAACTTGTTAAATATGTATACTTTGTCAACCTAGTTGCATAAATTTCTGTTCTACCCTACCCTCCCTCCAAGTGCCTGCTTTCTGCCTCTGCCTGAGGTTACATATTCCAGCCTGTCAAGATAGCCAGCCTGCTGCAACCCTTTCAAGAAATAAAGCTCTCCTCTCCAAATTTACAAACTTGGGATTCTTCCACTAACACTATGTATCCTCCAGATGCCAGTTACTGTATTAGGCACTTAACATATTACCTTGTTTAATCCTCGTGGCTGCATTCCCTACAAAGTGGACACAATTATCTATTTTATCAAAGAAGACACTCCCAATTTTATATTCGAACACTGAAGATTTTGTTAGTAGCAGATGAACATGTATAGTTTGTTAGGTTTGGAGGAAGTGATTTGACCTGTGGTGCAGCTAAATCATGGTACTGTAAACCCTGTTATGGGAAAGGTGTACTGCATCTTTAGATGGAATCAAAGGAAATAGGACCAACATGAATTAAAGATCCTCGGTCTGAGCAATGTAGCAAGCCCCTGTCTCTACAAAAAAACTGAAAAATTGGCCAGGTGTGGTGGCATGTATCTGTAGTCCTAGGTACTTGGAGGATTGCTTGGGCCCAGGAACTAGAAGCTGTAGTGAGCAATGATCACATCATTGCACTCCAGCCTGGATGACTGAACAAGACGTTGTCACAAAAAAATAAAAAAAAGAAAGACTTAAAGACCATAACTAAATCAAGCACTGTGTTGAGCATTTAATCCTATCATTTAACCTTCATGATACACCTATGAGGTGTGCATTACTTTTTTATCAATGCGGAAACAGAGGCTGAGCAGGGTTAGAGTATGTCAACTATTGTTACAGCCTGCAAAGGGCAGAACCAGAATCAGACCAGACTGACCTCAAAACCCACATCGTTTTCACTATGCCATGCAGGCGTTCTATGTTGCTTTTAGCCCAGTGGAACTTGTTAGAAATGCAAATTCTTGGGCCCTAATCAAACCTACTGAAGGGAGGGACAAAGGTAGCTGTTTCTGTTCACACATCTTCCCAGTGATTCTAATACACTGTCAAGTCTGAGAACCACTGTTTAGCAG